TATATATGTATATATATACATATATATAGCTACGTTGCCCATGCTTAAAAAGCAAACATTTAGCTAGTTCACTCTTACAGGGTATCTGCAAGTCGATCAATTCAGTTCAATTTGACTGCTCGGCTAGCCATTCAGTGAGTGTGTGTGTGTGTGTGTGTGTGCGAGGTCGGCGAAGGTGTTCGGCCGCCTTTGGCGTTGTCTGCGGCAATTTAAGCGTATCCTTTCGATTTGATACGGCCGGTAAAAAAAATTACAGCATGACAGCGGATCCGGGGACCGCACAGAACAACTCAATTTTGTAGCAAAATATTTTGTTGTCCAGAACGAATCGCAACTAAAACACAGTGTGAGCGAGGTCAGCACGGCAAAAGAGAATGCGAATGGGAGTGGGAATAGCAATGGGAATAGAAATGGGAATGGGAATGGGCATTGGCATGGGCATGGGACACGGACTATGTGCCGGTGGCAGCAGCCGTTGGTCGGATCCTTTCGACGAGGCGTCCTGCCGCGCCTGCGCACTCTGTGTATGCAGACAGCAGCAGCAGGAGCTCATCAATGCAATAATCGTGTTTGTTGTCCATGTAGATGAAGTTGTTTGGTGCGAATTGGTCAGATACAGCTACAAGATACAAGCGCAAGATATAGATAGCTAGATAGAGATATATGTATGCGTGTGTGTGTGTGGGTGTGTGTGTGTGTGTGTGTGGGTGTATGTGGATGCACATCCCATGGGATGGCATACAAAGGATGCTGCCTGTGCGTGGATGTGTGCGTGTCGAGTCGAGTCGAGTCGAGTCCTGGGCCGTGCCGTCGTTCGGTGTGGCGCGCGGCGAAAATCAAGGCGAGTGACCCCGCTGCGAGACACGGCTGCTTCCTGCTGCTGCTGCTGCTGCGCGGCCCAGTCAACAATTGCACTTACGGTTAGACGCAGGACTCTCTATGCCGACTGCCGACTGCCGGCGGCCGGCGGCCATGGCCCGTACAGCTGTTCGGCCAAACAATGTGGCCATAATTTTGTAACAAAGTCAAAGAAACAATACAATGCTGCAACTAAATTTAATTAGCTCGTCAATTGTCCCACTTCGCAGACAGGCAAACAAACACAAACAACTGTGTGTGAGAGCCGGCCTGGATGGAATAGAGATGGAGTATGGCTCATACCTCATACCTCGAGTCAGGTCAGTTTTGATTAGGCGACCGCCCAGCAATCGAGGCCAGGTAACGCCCGTCCCTTATAAAGGCCGAGCATGGGGCAGTCGCTTTAGGTAACAACAAACATCATTTACCCAATCGATGCGACCGATTGAGCGATTGACCTGCCGCCAACTGCAGCTGAGCCTGGGACCAACTGGTCAGCTGCTCAGATCCGTCTATAGTCTATATAAATATGCAAATCGATGTCTCGATGTCATCAGTGCGCTAAAAACAGTTGATTCGTGAGAATGAGGCCAAGGTGAGTTGAGTACAACGCCGCGAGGCGGTATCGCGACTTCAAGCAAACGAATCTCGTCTCTATTGCAGCCAAGCACGTGTCTTCAATCTTAACTCTTAACGGTACTCTGCAAAGTGCTAGACTCTTACAAGCAAACTGAGTGAACTTATTGTATTTACTGTTCAAATGTTATAGCATATAGTAGAGATATATTGAGATATAAACATAAAGCATATGTGTATAATAGTGAAATATGAAGACGAGTAGATAAATCTATAGATGGCTTATAAGATCTAGATTTATATATAGATAGATAGCATAAAGCATCGATCGATAGATAGATAGGTAGATAGAATTATATGGGATAAAAATATGTAGATGGGTAGATAGAGAATGAAGATTATCTGTATAAATCTATCTGTATATATATCTATATTCTCTAGATAGAGAATAAAGATTATCTGCATAAATCTATCTGTATATACATCTATATTCTCTATCTGCCCATCTGCATATTTTCTAATTCCTATATACTTTGACTGTAAATAATATATATTTATCGATCAATACTATAAATGTATACATCTATAAAGGTGAGTATATAACATATTTAGTACAGATTAATAATAATAAATTAATAGAACTGTTAGTAATGTCAATACAGGC